CTTTAGAAAACTGATTCGGGCCGAATAGCAAAACAAACTTGCAGCCAATCAGCAGTAAGGGGCGTGTCTACTCATAATGTGGAGGAGAGAGCGCTCAGTACACAGGACGGACATTAGCCGAGCCTAGCGACAGAAAGATAGAGATGGTGGATAAAAAACAAAAGAGGAAACTGTCTGCGGCACAAAAGAAGGCTTACGATAAGGCAAGAAGTAGGACCCGTGTAAATATCGGATCAGCTTTCCAGCGCTGGAGAGAACTCAAGGAGCGGAAGGCCTGCGATCGGACGCCGAGGTTGCTTTGTTTCTGCTCGATAGGGCGACAAAGCGACCGTTGAAAATCATTTGAAATTTGTGTCAATACATCATAAATAGAACGCAGCAGCAGTTTTCTGTTGGGGATTTTTCGTGCCGTGCTGCATCCAGTGTAGACCATAGATATTTATATATATCTATGGTGTAGACAGCATCACTGATTATAATGAGTCTATAGTATTTTGTCGCGCCTCGCCACTCGTGTCTGGTGTATACACGGTGTAACATTGGTTTTGCTTTGTTTCACAGAACTAATCGTTGCCTGGGTTGCATACGTATGTGTGGGGCGGAGCTATCAAAATAGGGGCGAATTTGTGTCAATATGTCATAAATAGAATGCAGCAGCAGTTTTCTGTCGGGGATTTGTTGTGTCGTGCCGCGCTGCATCCAGTGTAGACCATAGATATGTATGGTGTAGACAGCATCACTGATTATAATGAGTCTATAGTATTTTGTCGCGCCTCGCCACTCGTGTCTGGTGTATACACGGTGTAACATTGGTTTTGCTTTGTTTCACAGAACTAATCGTTGCCTGGGTTGCATACGTATGTGTGGGGCGGAGCTATCAAAATAGGGGCGAGACCCTTTTGGGGTAGGGGCGTGTTTGTTTTGGTGATTTGAAATCAACATTGGCTGCCAGAAATCGCTTACCCCACCTTTAAACTGAAATTAGGCGTGGCTGACTTTTATAAAGAATATCTCTTTGGATTTGAGACCTTAGTCTTTGCAACTTTACAGATCTTCTTTATGCACCAAGAGCTTGTAACTCTCCAAAGAGAAAGGAAAACTTGAAATCGCATCATATGATCCCTTTAATAAAAACTATTCAGACATAACAAAATTAGTAGATCCTCAAAATTAAAATGAAAACTCAAAATATCAACAAAAACTATCAATGAAACTAAAATAACATTGCTGTGGACCATTTACACCATTTTATTTTGGCACTGGCTTTGTACTGAAGTACCAGTAGTTTTGACATCCCTACATGAAAGGTAAAGTTTTGCTTTGGATTTGTTTTACAGGCAGCTGAGACGGTAAAGAGGCAGCCCAAGTCACAATGTCTGTCAGCGCTGGTCTCTCCCATCTTCAGAGAGGTAAAAACGCACAAAACTCACCTCGTATATATAATCAAACACCCTGACTGGATTTGTCAGGGCCAAATGCAGTGCACTCACTGTAACTCTAACACTATCACTTTTTATCACGGTAGCAGCAGATAAAGCAGCAGTAAAGTGTAATAAACTGTGATAAGCTCTATATGTTGTAGAGTTAAATGTAAGTCTGTCTGCTTTCCAGCTGAAGGAGAAGAGGAGGGCATGTGGAGGAGGAATGGGTGCCATAGAGGAGCTGGAGAATGCCTTCAACCTGGCAGAAGAGTCCTGTCCTGGCATCTCTGACCTCCTGGTCACACACATGATGGAGAGAGTGTGCAGGTGAGTGGATCTTTAAGAAAAAGTACAGTGGTATAGAAAATATACCACTATACAAGTAAAAATTGCATTTGAATGTAATATTTAAGTAAAAAAAAAAATGTTTTATTAGGTTTGCTCTGAATGGCAACACCACGCCATCATCACGGTGAAGACACGCCTCTGCTGCTGCTGCTCCTTCCTCCTCCCGCACTAAATCATCATCATCATCAGCATCATTGCCCCATCAGGACCACAATACAACTGCCCATCATTCATCTACCCCCGGAGATCTTTTAATTAGTTATGATTAAATATTTTTACAGTTTTCTTTATAGAATGGACAGTATTTAAGAGAAAAAGCCATGTCATTGAGCGAACTGTGTTTACCTGTTAGATCGAAATCATATTATAAAGTGTTTATGGAAACATGTTTGTGTGGTTATTGGTGTGAATTGTGGTAAGTTTAGATCTCTTCAAATATTTGGTTACACTTTATTTTAGGGTGTCCTTGTTACAGTGTAATAGTACATTGAAGTACGGAGAACAACATTAACAACGTACTTACTATAGGGTTGGATTCAGGTTTGGTTTAGAGTTAGCTGCATTTAATTATGCATAATTTACTGTTATTGCTATAGTAGGTACATTTAATGTTAAACAAGGCCACTGTATAATAAAGTGTTACCAATTATTTATTGAAGTAAAAAAAAATTATAAAATGTTCATCATAATGGAAAGCTCGTCCTCCAGGCACCAGCAGCATAAACAGTTATTTATAAATAATGTACTACACTCTTATTTTTTTTATAAACAAATCCAATACTACAAGCCTGTTTTATTGACGTGGTATAATATTATTATAGGTTCCTGTTATCAGACAGTAAAACAAAAGAGGCTCAAAGATTTCTTTAAAGTAACGTTTTAATTATTCTCAGATGTCCATTATTAAAAAACATACGCAAATTATATTCCAGTTGTAGCATGGATCAAGAGCTCTTCCACTTATCTTTTTGATTATTTATTTTATTATTAAACTATTACTGTTATTAAGTCAGTTCTTGGTCCATTGATGTTGCCTGGCAGGATGTAACTTGGACACTCACTACGATTTAGAATAGTTTTGTGTTTTGCAGCAGGCTGTCTTAACCTAACTTTGTCGAAGTTCTTTCTGCTAGCTAGCTAATTACTTAAATGAACTGCCTTACACTCATAGCAAGTTCACTAGTTAGGTATTTTTTTCTGCATAGTAGTTGCTGGAGTGCTCAAGGCCTTGTGTAATTGTTTTTATACAGTCTATGGTAATTGCCCAGCTCCTTTATTAACATATCAGGTGCAGAGTTTGTGTTATGCTCTTCTGTCCCACTTGGGTGTCAGAATTGTGTGTTGTTATTTGACTGCCTACTAAATATTCTACTAAATCGCTTACAGGTTTGAAACAAGTGAAGGGTGAGTAAATGATGACAAAATTTACAATTCTGGGTGAACTATGGCTTTAAAATAATGTGCTAAAAAAAACATATGCTAAAAAAAATGTCACTACATGGGATTCCACATCGAGCCTCTCGCATCTACACTCTTTCACAATGTCAATGAAACTGCCCGTCTATCTTTAGTTACAAAACCAGAACGATGTTACTTCTAAATACCTGTGAATATCGTTGTTGATCTTTATCATGTTATAATTCACGACCTCTAGCGACCATCGAGAGAACTGATCTGTACTTAACGAGTAAAAAAAAAAAAACCGGCCACCGATTTTGACAAGTCCTTCCTGTTATAAATCAACAGCAAATTGAGAAGTTAACAGAGAAGTTAAAAACCCAAAACTGTTTCAATACAAAATGTTATTAATTAGACAATAATGGTTTAATAGAAAGTTTAAAACTGTAATTTTTACAACTGCAGAGATTTCATGACCAAATATGGAACGTATAGAAACCCATATTTCAGATATTTCATTTAAACATTGTAATTATTCGTTTATTATATGGCAATTTGATTCAACCACAGGAATACAATAAAATATTTTAACCATAGATCCCAAAAGGAGGGGGTAAAAACTTGGCATGCATCAGGGTCAAAGAGCACAACAGCATATTTCGATGTATCCAAATGTCACTCCACTAAGTAAATTTCACATTGCACTCAAACCAGAACAATGTCTGATAGTACAAACATGACAGTGTGCACTCCGGTACAAATAAAAATCAGCAAAATGAGCTTTAACATTAGAGAACAATGTATTCTTCTTCATTAGACGGCATAGGGAATGAATCATGGGTCACAGTATAATGTTTTGCATCAGTTTGGGGACCATTCAACTGAACAGCACTTATATTTCAAGACTTCATGCAGGGAAGAGAGATGTACTTCAGAAAAGTCCTGTACAGGATGACAGCAATCTCTCTGGCAACACTTAGAAACAGTATAAAATGATTTCTTTAAATAAAAAACCCCGCCACCGTGACACTCAAATTCAACAGCTGCTTGTATTCTCACAGTGTTTGTTTAGCTAGATGGGACAGAAATGAATTTGAGTGGTCATGGAGCTACACTACTAATAAAGGTGCTCTACAGTAGAAGATTCCTTCCCAGCAGCATTTGGCTTTTGTAACAAGATTTTTTTTCTTAATTACTGATGGTTGCTCTTCATTTTTGGTTACTGGAACACGAAAAAAAATAAATGAATATCAGCAACAGCATTTGAATAAAATACCAAAACAAAACACTTAATACTGCTTAAAAACAATTTGACAAAAAACATTAAATCATACAAGAGTGAAAGAAACTAAGAAAATGGCAAGCAAGATGAGCTAAGGACCGGTCTCTCCTCAGGTCTGCATCTGAAACACAAACAAAAAACAGCCCCCCAACTGCATATTTAATAACAAAAATAAATGGCCAACTTTTCTCTGAATAGTAAGTTACTCAATGTTACTTTTATGCAACATCTGCAGATTTGTGTAGAAATACATGAACAAAATATTAAATTTTTTACAAAGTAAAATAGAGGAATTAATTACAGTGTTTTGTGCCCCCATATTTAAAATGTCTGGGGCATTAATCAATTCTTAATTTTACCCCGCTTCAATTTTTGGGGGGCAGAAAATAAAATGAAAATATTGTTCCTTCCTCTTTATTGGCATATCATTATCATTCTACAAAAACTACAATATCAAATAAAACATCAAATGCTGAAGACCAGCTCAGATCGCATAACTGCTTATAGTTAGGAGTCGGTTACCATACTGTGACTGGTTATGTTGTTCTGGGGTTTCAGTGTTTGTAACGCGTTCTTACCGTGTTTCTCACAGGTGTGGGCTGTCTCCATCTCCCTCTCCCTGTTTCTGCATCTGCGCCTGCATCTTAGCGATCATCTCCTGCATCCGCCTCAGCTGAGAGAGACACAAACAGAGTCACACACAGACCCTCACACGCAAACATTCGTGTTATTAGCGTTCAGCTTGTGTTTGGTTATATATATATATATATAAATAAAATAATTTAAATGAAATGTGATGGAGCTTAATTATTCAATTAATCAGAATTCAATGCATATAAATATTTGCTGAGAAAAGCTCTCAAATTAATATAATTAAAATTGTATTAAATAATAATTTCGATAATAGTTTATATAAAGATATTCAATGATTAGAGCAAGGACATCAAATAATAATTTTAAAAAAGCATATACGTAAGTGCCAAGCATATTTTAGTGGAATAAATATATATATTCCACTTAAATATACCTAACACTGAAGATATCCTTCTTCCGATGACAGGAAAATGATTGCAGCAATATCGAATAATTTAGCATAAAATAATTTTATTTAAAAATACGATTTTGCAAAAACATTCAACTGCTTCAAAGACCGAAAAATAGGGGACATGAATTGTTCATTTTAAATAAATAAAATGACAGCTCTTAAAATTACACAGCATTTACATCAATTACCAAAATATTATTTGCTAAATGATCAAAAGTGTGATTTAACAAATGACAGGACAAAAACTGTATTAGTAAACCACCAGCAGAGTGTTTTGCATTGCAGAGTTTAGGCAAGACGAGAAAGACAAATCCAAGTTATTAGCGCAAGCGTGTGATAAGCTGAGCAGAAGTATTTGAGTATTTGCATGCGTGAGAGTGAAATAGAGTCTATGTGCAGTAAGAAGAGCAGAGCCAGTGCTAGCGTCAGGCTAAAGGATGACTGAGCTCCCAGCAGTACCTCCCCCTCCTATCCTCTGACGAACACAGACCTGACAGCTCGCTGCAGATCCATGAGACTGGGTCAAGCTCTAGAGTGTATGGAACACAGTTTATCAACTGATTAGGCTAAAACCAGACAAAGCAATGCTGCTCTTCTCCTTTCGTTTCTGCTATCAAATGACTATTTATATTTGAATTTAACAAAAATGAGAAGTGACTATGTAAAAATTTGCTATTTCAATACATCTGCTTAGTGTTGCCAGGTTTGGGCTATTCAAATAACCTGTGGCTGCACTCACAAAGCTCTGATTTTTTTCATGGATGTCGAGGGAGGAGGTGGAGAAAGGCAAGCAGAGCAGTACGTACGCAGGCGACAAAGGCAGAATGTAACCATGGGAGGACAACCTGCCGCCCCGTTTGAGGCGCTCTGAGCGGAAGTTCTCATAGTGAAGGTCCTGAGTGACTTCTTGCAGGTCCTGCATGTGGGTGCTGGATGGATGACAATAACCATCAATAGAAAATAATGACAGTGACTGAGAAAACAGAACATTGTCTTAGAATGAAAATAAGGCTGAGAGGGACAGAAATACACTCCATTTAATTCGTTTTACTGTTTAAAGGTACAACTCATGTGTTTTGAAGACTAAACAATCAACTCAAATTTTCTTCACAGCCTCATTTTTATTTGTGTAAAATCAAGAATTTTAGAACATTGAACAGCAGATAACTTCAAATGACTTACATTAGCATGGTGCGAAGTTTGAGGAAGTCATTGTGTTCTGGGTTTTCTACCTCCACCACACCCCATGGGTACAAACGCCCTCTCACTTTCTTCCCCTTAGCCTCGATCTGCTGGTTGGATCCCACCACGGCAAACGGTATGCTGGTCTAAGTCGGTTACCATACTGTGACTGGTTATGTTGTTCTGGGGTTTCAGTGTTTGTAATGTGTTCTTACCGTGTTTCTCACAGGTGTGGGCTGTCTCCATCTCCCTCTCCCTGTTTCTGCATCTGCGCCTGCATCTTAGCGATCATCTCCTGCATCCGCCTCAGCTGAGAGAGACACAAACAGAGTCACACACAGACCCTCACACGCAAACATTCGTGTTATTAGCGTTCAGCTTGTGTTTGGTTTGAGAGATCCTACCTCAGCCTCCTTCTCCTGCAAGATTATGTCCTTGTCCATTTCCTCTGGCTCCGAGGAAGTCGTTGTGTTCTGGGTTTTCTACCTCCACCACACCCCATGGGTACAAACGCCCTCTCACTTTCTTCCCCTTAGCCTCGATCTGCTGGTTGGATCCCACCACGGCAAACGGTATGCTGGTCTACAACACAAAGATGAAAAGGAACTTTGAAAAGCAAAGCATGCGGCCTAGCTTGGATGCAGTCTCCTGAAGAGCAGGTAACAGTAAGCATCAAGTGATCACAAAAACTACAATTCTGCCATTTCTCACCCTCATGCTGGTCCAAACCTGTCTGACTTGTGTTTCGCAATTCAGTTTCAATTACAATTCCCAAAACAAGTGTGAATAATTCTCACTAAATGCTCACCAAGAGTTCGACTCAACGGTTTTTATATATTTTAAACTGTAATTTATTCCTGTGATGCAAAGCTGAATTTTCAGCAATCATTACTCCAGTCTTCAGTGTCACATGATCCTTCAGAAATCATTCTGATTTGGTGCTCAAGAAACATTTATTATTATCAGTGCTGAAAACAGTTGAGCTGCTTCATATTTTTAGGATTCTTTGACCAGAATGTACTTTTTTAATGTTATAAATGTCTTAATGTCACTTTTGATCATTTGAATGCTTCCTTGTTGTTTTAGAATTAATTTAGTAGCAATTTCTTAAACAATAGTAATAATTATAAGGGATGTCCCGATCAGGTTTTTTGTGCCCCCGATCCGATCTGAGTCATTGAATATTGAGTATCTGCATGGCATGCACATTTCTTCTTCTTTTGGTTTTAATGGTGGCTGAACACATATATTTGAGAGCTTCTTTTCCTTTTAATAGCGCTTGGCGAATCTATTGGAAGGCGAATACTGCCACCTACTGCACATCACATAAAATAAGAATCAGGCTTAGGAGAGCCGATAAGGATCACTGTAGGGGAGTTGTATGGCATGTGATGTCAAGCCAAAGCTCAGGATTTATGTGCTCGCACTATACGGTCTGTTCGTCAAGCTGCAACTTTACGAGTTGCACGAGTCAGGATTTGGCTCAAAATCGGACAGAAATCTGTCCAGCCTTAAAAAAATGCTTGATCAGCCCCGATCGGCTCGGGACATCCCTAATAATTAAAATAATAAATAAAATCTTACTGAACCTATACTTTTGAAGTAATGTATGTTTATGGTGCTTTTGTATTTTTTGGGGAGAGTTTGAAACATGGGTTTAGAACAACATGAAGGTGAATAAATTGTGATATTTTTCCTTTGGGTGAACTGTCTCTATCTTATATGAGGGGAAAAAAAAAAAAACACACACACACACACACACCTTGAGAATCCGGGTCTGCTCTTTGAAATCTTCATCCTCATCAGACTCAGCATCAGGGAGGTGATAGATCTTGATGCCATGCTCATCGATTTCATCCAGAATCTAGTATCCCACAAAAAGACGCATATAGCCAACAAACCAAACATATGATCATTCCATCTTTGGAAAGAAACCTGAATGGCTTACCCTGCGCTTGAGTCTCTCTCTCTCCCTCAGTGTCAGCGTATCTGCTTTAGCAATAACAGGAACGACATTCACTTTGTTGTGAATGGCCTTCATGAATTGGACATCTAGAGGCTTCATCCTATAAAATTGGAGCATGGGAAAATCAGCCATTTAAATCCAGAATAGAACTGTGTGAACACTTAAACTCACACCTATGACAGTGGAAGGCGTCATAAAACATGTCTTAGTTGAGTGAAATGTAAGAGCTCACCCGTGACCCAGAGGGGAAATGAAGTAGAAGCAGCAGTGCACACGGTTGTCCACTATGTGCCTGCGGTTGAGTCCACTCTCGTCATGCAGGTAGCGCTCAAACTGGTCATCGATGTAGGAGATAATGGTGTTAAAACTGTAAAAAAAAACAAAAAAAAAAAACAGCACGTTTAAACACTTGCAGAGAGTTTACATTTTAAGTGCCCCATCCCTATAACAAATCTGAAAATGTGCATCACAATCTGTATAGATCAGACTGAAATGATCAGGATCTTTTTAAACTTCAACCACTTGTTTGTAATGCTGGTATCCTTCTGTAGAAATGACAGGAATGTTCTCCATATTGTCAGAGTCAGTCTCCTTACGCTCTCAGACAACTTAAATGTTAATGTTTATATGCAAATACTGTAACTAACATTTCTGTTTCTTAAACGGAGTTTTTTTTAAATGGGAAAAAGAAATGCGAAAAATATTCAAAACCAAGGACGCTGAAAAAGTGGGAGGGCACTGTTACACTCTACAACAGCAGTGTAAAGGCAGCAAAACATGGAAAATGCACCAGGCCTTCCAGTAAAAAAGGCTGAAATGGTTTTAACACACATGCTAGTGATATACTCTGTTGACTTTGATACAAAACCAGGGCATTAGAATGTCAAGTTTCACTTGTATAAAAGTTACTTGACAGCATACATTTCCTTTTTCAGATACAAGCACTTCAATATCCTCTCTTTGCTGTTTTTGCGCTCAAGTGGGTCAGGGAGCAGTCAGGAAGAGGTCACACATGTTTCCTGTCTCACCACTTCCACTAGCAGAACAGCATTCCCAGAACTCACAAAAAGAAATAAGAAACCTGTTTCCTTCATTCCTCTACTGCAATCGCTGTTCTTCATATCTCAAATTACACCATCAAATGAAGAAAAAAAAAATCTCTCTTAAAGATACAGTTCTGAAGCAAAACAATGTATAATGACGACTATATGTGTACTGAGCATTTTCCAATATTTCTAATGACCACCAAAGCAAACCTCACCAGTCCTGGCTGTTGATGGCATCACCGTATCCAGGCGTGTCGACCACAGTGAGACGCAGCTTCACTCCACGCTCCTCAATCTCCACAGTTGAGGCCTCGATCTGAACCGTGCGCTCAATCTTCTCTGTATGACAAGAGCACATGTAAAAGATACATCAGGGGAGGCTCAAAAAACAAGGCCGAGATCCTTCCTTCTGTGCAAAACTGCCTCAAACATCAGGCCACTGATGTTCACCAGGCCATTTTTTACACTTTCCGATCAGAATATGCTTAGATATCTGAACACAGGGTATATACAGGAATCATGGAGTTAAATTTAATACCTTTTCAATATTAGAATGTTTGCGGGAGCGCACACAAAAATCGCAGGAGCGGATTGGGAGCATGCGATAATAGTCAGAAATTCAACAAGAGCGGGATCAACAAGCCCCGCGCTATCACGCAGCGCCGCAGTCAGTCAGTGAGCGCCATAATAGATGAAGTCAAATCTTGCGGGATTCCATAAACTACACAGAACCCCACTATTCTGGCAAATATACTTAATGAAAAGATGATACACAATTTAATACCTTGGAAAATGGCATTTAAGACTTTTAAATACTTATTAAGGGCCTTAATTTTCTCTAAATTGATTTATCAACTTTTAATACTTTTTAAGACCCCGCGGACACCCTGGGACATCTGATGTAACTTCCTCAGTTTTGAAACTCTCACCTGCAGCACCAGGAATGACCCTCTCTGGGTAGAGATCAGTGAGGAACAAACTGTTGATCAGCGTGGACTTCCCCAAACCCGACTCACCTGAAAACAGCAGAAGTGCTAATGAGGAAACACTAAATCATCAGATCAACTACAAAAACACTTTGACTGCATTTCCCTTTGCAAAGAATAAACAGCGTGATGTCAAAGCAAACATCATGGACATAAGCGTTTTATGCAATTATCTGTTCCTCTAGTCAGTGTTTTGTTTCTACGTCTCAGTCAAGCAGCCTTCCAGCAGTGAAAGGTCTCGCGGTTGGAGGTTCTGCATTCCTCTGTGATTTATTTTAAGACGATGGGATGACTGTACAATGGGCTCTGCTGAGCGGGCACACACACACACACACACACACACACAGGGCTGAGGGGAGAGTCCCAGCTGCCTTAAAAAAAAAAACTAGGATTCATCATCACTGTGGTTCAGCCAAATTTGTTCCCACAGTCCATTTCACTACGCAATAACCATTCAAACATGAAGTACTACGTTTTCTACTTCTAAAATGTGTTTCCCCTCCAAATATGGATCATCCATGATGTTTCTAGAATGTGTCATTTCTCTATATGTTCAAGAGTTACGCTGCAAATTTTACGCAAATACTGCAGAAAAAAAAAGACAGACTTGAACAGTTTCTCTTTGTTATAAATTAGAATATAAATTGCATGGGGGGAAATAATGGTGTATTGCTTATATATTCTTCAAAATATACATAGCAAGGGAACACTGGAAATTCACTAATAATCGCACAGATTGTTCATATTTATATGCACAGGAGAACTTAATTCAAAACATCTGCGTTTGTTCTTAAGCTGATTCTAATGTAAAAATTGCGATGAAACAAAAGTAGCGACAGATATTTTCTTCCGTATTGTGACATACATCTGAGAGTAACAGATTATTAAAAAAGAAAAAATGGTTCTACGCATCGGTTGTTAAATGGATTTTGAGATGTGGGTGATGCACACAAAAATGGAGGGAGATGAATGTGAGCTGGATTAATTGGACACAATAAGATCAATTACACGCATTTAGAAAACGGGGAGTTTTCATTTAATGTCGACTTTAATGAGATTAGACAACTGTACATTTTTATGCAAAGGAAACCGGCAGCTTGAACTATAACACTGGTTTTCTTTTTTAATCTATGATAAAATATTATTTAATATACTAAAAAATAAAAAATAAATCTTATTTGTGATTTCAGTTGTTCCTACATTTTATCTAAATTTAGAATACATTTTTGTACAAAAGTTATTAGAGAATCATGATTTGTTTGTTAAAGTTTTCATGCACAAATCTGTAGCGTGCACATGGTCAGTGAATGAGAGCCATTGTGTTTTGGTTGACATAATGGGAATAATTTGTAATCTTTAGCTGAGAGGGATGATTGATGGGAGAGAGAATTTAGATTATACAAACAACAGTGGAGTTGTTCAAGATTGTGATTAGTGTTTATTGGCGATATTTTCAAGTTTATGAGGCACATTCAAAACATCACATCAACATTACTTACCCACCACCATGAGAGTGAACTCAAAGCCCTTTTTTACTGATTTCCGATGTACCTGATTTGGCAAATTCGCAAATCCCACATACCCAGGAGTCTCTGGGTTTGTTAACTGCCCTTGCTGACAAAAAAGGGAACAGAACATGCACATTTAATAAGTCTTAATACACTGCTATCTGAAAAACTTGATTCTCTTAAAAGCAATTAAATTCAGAGCTTAGAACATTTTCTGAACACGCCCAGTTTCCTTGCACATCAATCTCTACATAAAACTAAAACTGCGCAACATCCACCCATCTGCTCTCATTTCCTTACCTTCATTTTATCAGCTTGAGACATTTTGAGCTCGAACCAAACCTGCAAAAATATAAAGATTTTTTTTTAAAAAACAGGCTTATTTACAATATAGATGTAACCACCTAACATTAAAAAACAACTATAGGCGTTAACTTTAAAAAAAAAATTTGATGATCTTGTTGATCAGTTGAACTTACATGCACGAGAAAGCTGTCGATAAAAAGCTTTCACAGTGCTACAGGAACAGGAAGTCAGTTCCTGTCTGCAAGCATCAGTCTCACCACAAACCTGCACCAGCCATTTTAAGTTCAGAGCCCTAAAATCTAGGCTGTTTACTCATTTTAAATTCAAATAAAGCTGTTATTTAGATGCCCATTTATTTGTTGAATGCAGTTCAAATATTTATTTAATTAGAGCAGAGATTTTCTACCAGGGGCCTCGAGATGACTTTGAGAATTAAAATAAGAGAAAACAAACATTACAATAACCTAAAAAGATATTTTACTCCTTCAAAAACTTTACTCCTTCAGTTTTTTTTTATCATGAACAAACTTTTTCTGGTTATGCCAAGGTGTAACATATTGTTATTAGGCTGTCAAATATAGCATGCGCGCACACACACACACATATGTATTTATGTGTATGTGCATATGCATGCATATATATATATATATATATATATATATATATATATATATATAT